CAAGAAAATATAAAGGAAGCTGGATACAGCTGTAGCGCGACGATCGTAGCGCGACGGCTGTAGCGCGACGATCGTAGCGCGACGCTGTAGCGCGACGATCGTAGCGCGACGGCTGTAGCGCGACGATCGTAGCGCGACGATCGTAGCGCTACAGTTGTAGCGCTACAAGTCTGAACGCTGCCTCAAACGACCGATGTCAAAAACATTGCAGCGAGACGAGTCCGTACTCATGTATCATCTTTCGCGCCCACAAGCGGCATATCCTGAGTAGAGAAGATTCTTCTTCAACAGACTTCATTTCGCTACCCCTCGCTATGACAGTGATCAACGAAATCAAAGCGGTCTTGGTGGCCAAATGGAATATTAGCAACATGGAAACGCCGCACCAAAGGAAAATAAGAGAGCAATAGACAAAGCCTAATAAAAGAGAACAGAGGTGGAAATGACCATGAGTAAGAAATAAGAATGGAGGTAAGAAAAAAGAAATAAAAAATGAGAAAAAATTAACATTAAGAGGGAAAAAACGAGGATAAACGTACCTGCTCAATCAGAAGAATATAAATATTCGAAGAAGTGATAGCCAAGACAAGTAACCGCCGCACAGCTGACAGTTGACAATAGGAATCAACGTATGACACTATTGCAGTGGCTAAGAAGTTTTTAAGGTTCTGGAACGGTGGTTTTCGGAAAGAAGGATTTCACAGAAGCAGAATGTTCTCATTGTCAGGCTTAGAAGGTCCGCGATACACTTAGTATTCCTTGGCATACGCGGGGAACAAAGAGATGACATCGCGACCCGCAAGTTCGACTATGAAGCACTCAAGAAATTTATAGAAGCATCAGGTGATGCGGAACTTACGGCAAAGTTTGCGAAGGGTGGTATCACTCTAAATCGTCTTGCCAAGTGGCAACCAAGAGGAATGAACGCTAGGGGACGGATTATGAAAATCGTCCTACCACATGAGGCACTGAAAGACAGCTTACTGCTCACATGAGGGCAGAACGGCAGGGTCTCACGAAGAGTTTTTTCCACTCATACGCTCGTCGTGACTACATGCAGGAAGAGCTTGACCTGGACAGGAAATTGAGGAAGCAGGCTGGAGAGCTTAACAGGGAAGCAGGAAAACTTGCTCACGTAGCGCGCGATTTGGAGAACACAAACTCAGGAATCCAAGGGAACTACCTACGATAACGAGTCAGCGCGGGTCAAGAGTCCTCTCAGAAACTTCCTCTCGTTCCCTCCTACGGGAGAACCCACAGCAGATAAGGAGTGCCTCATTTTATAGAAATTTTCTCACCCAGTCAGCGAGGCTCTGGTTTAGGAATTGCTGATAACGCCTACACAAGTCTTGGTACAGGATTCTAGGGCCATGTTCTCTCTCATTCGGGTCTTCCTACACGTGAAACCGCATCCTATTTTGAGCTTGAAATGTTTTTATTCTGATAAACCAACAATAAACTCCACAAAACTCTCAAACTTACACAACTTTCTGCTGTCCGGTCCGAAGGCAGTCCTGGTCACAGAGTCTTGGTATAAGCCACACCTTATGCATAATTCCACTATATCAGCTGGTCTCCCTTACCAAGTTCTTCGTTGTGATCGTGAAGGCGACATGTTCACGATTACATTCCCACAGTCGTGCTCTCCTCATTGAACTTCTCACCCTATATTCAATGTCTGAGCATACAGATCACAGTAGGTTCTCTATGTGCCGTTTTGGTCGTCATATACCGCAGTTCTTCTTCTTCAACCGAAAGGTTTCAAGAGTACATTATTTCATCAGAGGGATTGTGCCTAAACAGTACTCCTGTGATTAATGTTGGGGATTACAATCTTCCTGGCATGCTCTGGAATGAGCCGGCCAAGTCAGATTCTAGAACGCAAATCCCCCCCCCCTCCCCAAATGCGCACTCCTTCTAAACTTTATAGAGTCACATGATTTAGAGCAATACGTCAGCTGCCCAACGCATTATACAAATGCTCTCGACTTAGTTTTCTCTAACAACTCAGTTCTCATCGCTGACACTGAGATTGGTACCCCATTCTCGACATCTGACCATGCCTCCGTGTCATTTTTAATATTGAGTTAAGACCTGTAGTCTTCTGGTCGAAACCAATAAAGGATTTCTGCCACGGAGTTTACGAAACTATTTGTGAACAGCTGCCTCGTGTCAACTGGGATGATATTTTTGATTCCCTCGAAACCCCATGCTTGTGCTACGAGGCGTTTTCGGGTTTCTGTCATGAGCTGATAAAGAAGTTCGTTCTTTTTTCCATGGAAACTTCTACTCTAAGAAAAGAACCCCCACATATTTCGCTGATGAAGACCGAGTGGCGCGACTGTATGTCAATGGCCAGTGGCTAGGCGACCCTCGCTACGCGAAAGTAGTCAAAATGCTCGATAATAAATTACAGATGCTCAAAGAACGATATGGAAGAAGGGTCAAAGAACCCCAAACGGTTTTGGAAATATTGCTCCATCAGGATTAAGGATGTTTCGAACATAGGCACTAGCAGGTAGAAAGGGTACAAGTTACGTTCACCGAGAGAGTATTGGCGCGAGCAGGCATATTTCATGTTCCATATGAAGATCGCCTCATGTACCTTGATTCTACAACGCTTGAGATGAGGGGAAAAG